CGGGGCCGAGCGGTGAGGGCGGGGCGAGCGGGTGAGGGCGGGGCGAGCGGGTGAGGGCGGGGCGAGCGGGTGAGGGCGGGGCTAGGCGGGGTCGGTGGGCGTGTCTCCCGGCTGTGACCCACACTGACCCCCCCCCCCATGGCAGGGAGTTTGCGAAGGAGCGCGAGAGAGTGGAGAACAGACGCGCGTTCCTCAAACTGCGGCGGCAACAACAGATCGAGCGCGAACTCAACGGCTATCTGGAGTGGATCTGTAAAGCAGGTAACTGAGGGGCTCGAACCACACCCCCACCCCCCCCCACCCCACCACCCCACCCCCCCCCCCCCCCACCCCACCCCCCACCCCCCCCAGAGAGAGAGAGAGAGAGAGAGAGAACGCCTTCCATTCCATTCCAACAATCTTATCTCTGGGGTTTCCGTGTGTATGTGGGAGGTCCGGGATTCCCGCCCGGCGCATCGCCCCTCCTGGGGGGATGATGATGATGATGATGATGATGATGATGATGATGATGATGATGATGATGATGATAGTAATAATAGTAGTAATAATAATAATGATCCCTCTCAAAAAATGTGGTGACTTCAACCCACGGCGGTGTTTGCGGGGTGGGGGGGGGCCACCTCGCTGGGCGCGATTGACTGCCCGCGTCTCGCCCGCAAAACACACGGTCACTACACTTGACATCGTGTCCTGTGAAGCGCTTTGAGCAGCTCACAAACCCCAGGACCCTCACTGTCACCGATGCTGAACCCTGTGTGAACGGCGCCACTCGGTGGAGACACACAGCACTGCACCCCCATCACCTCCGCCCCCCCCCCCCCCCGCACCGTTAAGTGGCTGAACTTTGGGGGGGACTTGAAGCTCACGGTGATCAGCCTCTCTACACCCCCCACCACCCACCACCGACCCACCCTTCCAGGCCTGTCTCGAAGACCCTCCCCTTCGACCAACTGCGCCTTCGGTCACCCTCCTAAACCGCCCCCCCCCACCCTCAGCCTCCCTCCCCCGCCCTCCACACAGCATCCCCCCCTCCCACCCTGATCGCAAATCCTCAGCTGGGTCCAAAAATCCCCGAGTGTCCAGCCCGGCGCCTCGGGACATCCTCCCCGACGTGGGAGGCAGCTGTGAAAATGTCGCGTGTTGTTGCTGTTGTTGCTGTTGTCGTCGTTGTCGTCTGTTGTTGTTGTTGTTGTTGTCGTTGTCGTCTTTCATCACATTACCGCTCTCTTTTTCTTGTTCTCTGACTGTTCACTTCATACAGAGGAGGTCATCCTGGCCGAGGATGGCTCTGATACGGAGGAGAAGTCCCCTTTCGATGGTGAGTGACCCCTCCCCCCCCCCCCCCCACTTTCCTCGCCCCTCGCTTCTCCCCCGACCCCCCCCCCCCCCACGACCCCCACTCCCAACCCACCCCCTCCCCAACCTTCACAGAGCGAGCAATCTGACACCTCAATACTCAAAGGCAAAGTTACCGGGGCTTCAGTGAGTTTAAACTCATAAGAACTCGCTTCCCACCCTCCCCGTCAGTCGCTTGACATGTCCGCGTCCCCCCAACTATCACAGAAATTGATCTCATTTAGAACTCTTCCGAACTCCATCCCGTATTCCCTCCCACTCCCTCCGCCTCCCTCCCCCTCCCTCACCTCCTTCAAGGCACGTCTCAAGACCCTCCTCTTCGACCACAACTCAGGGGGTGGGGGGGGGGGGGAAGGGTGGCGGTAGGAGGGTGGCTTCTTGAAGTCCTCTTCAATCTCCTCCTTTTATCCTCCCCCGAAGTCTCAGTGTCTCCCCCAGGACTCGGCTGATTCTCCTCCTGTCTCTCCCCCCCCCCCCCCACAACACAGTTATGCGCAGAGGAACCATCAAGAAAAGCAAAACCGACTTACTGAATCCGGAGGAAGGGGAAGATCACCTCGCCGACATCTCCTCTGTGGGTCAGTGCCTGGGGCTCGCTGGGGGGGGGGGAAAGGGGGAAGGGGGAGGTGGGGGGAGACGGGGAGGTGGGGAGAGAGGGGGTCCTTCACTCCCCAAGGACCTTGTCTCCAGGGTAGAAGTTTGTGGGATCAACCCTCGCCTTCTCCACCTCGCAAGCCAGAGGACCCGGGTTCGGATCCCGGGCGGGCCAGGTCAGGTCAGGGCGGAAACGTTCCTTACTACACCCACACACACACATACACAGACACACACCCACACACACAGACACACCCACACACACAGACACACACACACACACACCCACACACACACATACACACACACACACCCACACACACAGACACACACACACACACACCCACACACACAGACACACACACAGTCACACACACGCCTCTGTGTACCAGCAGTAAGTGGGAACCCGCTTGTTAGTCGATTGGGGGATCACTTTCCGGGGGTAATAATTGCTCCAGAAAAGATCCACGACTGTGTGTGGGCCGTCGCTCTGCACAATTGGCTGCCGGGTGTCGCACCCACAGAACACGCACACAGTGTATCCTGGGAAGCGCTTTGAGACGTCTCTACGCTGTGATACCGGGCGCTGTAACAAACGCAAGGATTATTATTAGATTATTTTCATCGCGTGTCGGGGCCTGTCACGATTTGGGTTTAATCTGCTCTCTCTCTCTCTCTCTCACACTCTCTCTCTGTGTGTCTCACTCTCTCACACACTCTCTCTGTCTCTCTCTCTCACGCTCTCTCCCTCTCCCCCCCCTCTCTCTCTCACGCTCTCTCTCCTGACGCCAGGCTCCCCGTTCACCCGAGCCAGTATTAAGAGCGCGAAGCTCGAGGGTTCATCGTTTTTCCGTAAGAAGGAGCGACGTTTCCGCTTCCACATCCGCCGTATGGTGAAGACTCAGGCCTTTTACTGGATGGTTCTGGGTCTGGTCGGCCTCAACACCCTCTGTGTAGCCATCGTTCACAACCAGCAGCCGGACTGGCTCTCCGACTTCCTCTGTGAGGGCAGGTCACTGCTGCGGGGGAGAGGGGGGGCAGGGGGAGGGGGGGGAAGTGGGGTGAGGGGTGAGAGGGAGGTGGAGGGGAGTGGAAGAGGAGAGAGGGAGCCAGACTGTCTCGCTGTCTTCCTCCGCGAGACCCTGCTCACTGCAACGGGGGAGAGGGGAGAGGGAGGGGGGAGACGGGGAGAGGGATGGGGGAGGTGGAGGAGGGAGACAGAGGGAGGAGAGGAGGAACGTAATTCGCTGCCGTGTTTCGCCCACAAAGCACACAGTCACTACACTGTACAGTGTGTCGCGTGAAGCGCTTTGAGACGTCTCGACGATGTGATGAGGCGCCGGGTCCAACGCCGGGATTATTATTATTATTATTATTATTGGATAACAGCGCCCCCTGTGTGTATTGTAGGGTAACAGCATCTCGGAGCAGTCAAACTAATGGCTTCTGTCCCTTTGCCTTTCAGACTATGCAGAATTCATTTTCCTGGGACTCTTTATGTCCGAAATGTTAATTAAGATATACGGCCTTGGAACGAGACCTTATTTTCATTCTTCCTTCAATTGTTTTGATTGTGCGGTGAGTAAAGCTTTATTTGGGGGAGGGGAGAGGGGGTTGGAGGGGGGGTGGTGGTGGGAGGCCGGGGTTTGGTGGAAGGCGATGGGGGTCAAGATATTGCTGAGTACCATTAATGGATGGACGGAATGTTAGATTGAGGGGAAGGGTTGACCGATTGAGGGGAAGGGTTGACCGATTGAGGGGAAGGGTTGACCGATTGAGGGGAAGGGTTGACGATTGAGGGGAAGGGTTGACAGATTGAGGGGAAGGGTTGACAGATTGAGGGGAAGGGTTGACCGATTGAGGGGAAGGGTTGACCGATTGAGGGGACGGGTTGACCGATTGAGGGGACGGGGATTGAGGGGAAGGGTTGACCGATTGAGGGGACGGGTTGCTCAGTGACAGTCGCTCTCCCCGGCAGGTCATTGTGGGCAGTATATTTGAGGTGATCTGGGCAGCCGTGAAGCCGGGAACCTCGTTTGGAATCAGTGTGTTACGTGCCCTCAGGTTACTGCGGATATTCAAGGTCACCAAGTAAGTGTGGGGGGGGGGGAGGCTCACACTCGCTCACACTCGCTCACACTCGCTCACACTCGCTCTCACACTCGCTCTCACACTCCGCACAAGGTGTTGGGGCTGGGGGTTGGGAGTTGGGGTGTAGGAGATTGGCCAGTCCTGACCCCCCCCCCCCTCTCTCTGCAGATACTGGGCGTCCCTGCGGAACCTGGTGGTGTCTCTCCTCAGCTCCATGAAATCCATCATCAGTTTGTTGTTCCTTCTCTTCCTCTTCATCGTGGTCTTCGCCCTGTTGGGGATGCAGCTCTTTGGGGGCCAGTGAGTGTTTGTGTGCGTGAGGGGGGGGCTGTAATAGGGGCGCGGTCTTGTGTGAAGTGGGGGGAGGGGTTGTGTGGGGGTTTGGGGGTGTGAGGGTCTTGTCTGTGGCCTGTAGCTCACCCCCCCCCCACCCCTCCCGGGTCTGTCTGTGTTTTATCTCCAGATTCAACTTCGAGACCGGGACCCCCTCCACCAACTTTGACACGTTCCCCGCAGCCATAATGACCGTCTTTCAGGTAAAGCATCGAGTGAGCAGCTCACACACATTCACACGCTCACACACACAGTCACACGCTCACACACTCGCACACTCACATGCTCCCACAATGGAGTGGGACAGGTGGAGTGGGCGGGATGAGTGTGTGGGCGGAGCCTCATGTGGGCGGGACCAGTGTGTGGGCGGGACCACTGTGTGGGCGGGGTCAGTGTGTGTGTGGGGGGGGACCTGGTGTGGGCGGGGTCAGTGTGTGGGTGGGGTCTGGTGTAGGCGGGGTCAGTGTGTGGGCGGGGTCAGTGTGGGCGGGGTCAGTGTGGGTGGGGTCAGTGTGTGGGTGGGGCCTGGTGTAGGCGGGGTCAGTGTGTGGGCGGGGTCAGTGTGGAGGGGGCGGTGACTGACAGGAAGCTGAGCTGTGGCCCCGCCCCCTGTAGGTGCTGACCGGTGAGGACTGGAACGTGGTGATGTACGATGGCATCAAGTCTCAGGGCGGAGTCAACAAAGGAATGATCTCCTCGGTCTACTTCATCGTCCTCACACTCTTCGGCAACTGTATCCTCAACGGCTTCTGTACCTCCCACACCCCAACCCCCCCAAACCCCCGCCATCTCCCCCACACCCCAACGCCCCCAAACCCCCGCCATCTCCCCCACACCCCAACGCCCCCAAACCCCCGCCATCTCCCCCACACCCCAACCCCCCCAAACTCCCGCCATCTCCCCACACCCCAACGCCCCCAAACCCCCGCCATCTCCCCACACCCCAACCCCCCAAACTCCCGCCATCTCCCCACACCCCAACGCCCCCAAACCCCCGCCATCTCCCCACACCCCAACCCCCCCAAACTCCCGCCATCTCCCCCACACCCCAACCCCCCCAAACTCCCGCCATCTCCCCACACCACAACCCCCCCAAACTCCCGCCATCTCCCCACACCCCAACGCCCCAAACCCCCGCCATCTCCCCACACCCCAACCCCCCAAACCCCCGCCATCTCCTACACCCAACCTCCCCAAACCCCGCCATCCCCCACACCCCAACCCCCCCAAACCCCCGCCATCTCCCCACACCCCAACGCCCCCAAACCCCGCCAACCCCCCCATTGTTGCTGTTGTTTTCTTGACGCTCTCACAGACACTCTACTCAACGTCTTTCTGGCCATCGCTGTGGACAATTTGGCCAATGCCCAGGAGCTCACCAAGGTCAGTCTCCGCCTGTAGCTCCAACCACCGGCTGTAGCTCCGCGTCCGCCCCCCCACCCCCCGCACTCGCCTGTACCCATGTGACCCCCCCCCCACCCCGTTGTCTGTACAGGACGAGCAGGAGGAGGAGGAGGCGGCCAATCAGAAGTTGGCGCTGCAGAAAGCCAAAGAGGTGGCGGACGTCAGTCCCCTGTCAGCCACCAACCTCTCCATCGCCGCGTGAGTACAGCGCACCCTAGTGTCCGTGTGCGCGCGTGTCCGTGTGCGGGCGTGTACGCGTGTCCGTGTGTGCGTGGGCGTGTCATCCCGGCTCAGTCACTAGCGCTCTCGTCTCTGAGTCAGGAGCTTGTGGGTTCGAGCCTCCCGTGTCGGGGCTTGTAATCACACAGTCTGGGCTAACGCCCCAATGCAGCGCTGGGGGTGGGGAGGGTGGGGGTGTGGTGGGGGGGGACATTAAACCTCGCTCCCCGTCTGCCTGTTCGGGTGGATGTTAAAGGTCCCGCGGCGCTGGGGGAAAAGAGAAAGGGAGTTCCTCTCTCTCTCTCTCTCTCTCGTGCTCTCTCTCTCTCTCCTTCTCTCTCTCTCTCTCTCCCGCTGCCCAACGATCCCCCCAAATAAAATCGGTCGCTCGCTCCACGGCCGTTTGCGGGGAGGTCGCCGGGCGCGAACCCGGCTGCCGCGTTTCCCCCCGCAAAACACACAGTCACCGCGCTTTACGGTGCCTCCTGCGAAGCGCTTTGAGACGTCTCGACCAAGCGATCAGACACCGGGGTTGAATGCCAGGGCCGTGGCTATAGTTTAGCCGCTTGTCCTGTGAGTGACGGGGCTGGTAATGGGGGAGCGAGGGATGGAAACGGGGAGCGTGGGGGGGGGTTATGTGTGTGTGTGTGCGCGTGTGTGTATCAATCACACAGGGTTTGCTGTGTGGGTTTGGACGGCTGATGGGGGGTGGGATGGTCTGTGTGGAGAGAGCACTCGGTGGCCTGATTCCCGGTTCCCAGTTTTCCTCTCTTCCTGTATATCCGTGGGTTCGAGCTCCCCACGTCGGGGGCTTTGAGTTCACGACAGTCTCAGCTGTGACGCTCTCTTGGGGTGGGGGGGTGGGGGAGGGGGGGGGGAGAGCCAGATTGTCGGACGAGACATATAATCAATCTCCTGTCTGTGTTCTGGATGGAAAACATTCCCACGCAGCGTTGTTGGGAAGAGAGAAGGGATTTTCTCTCTCTCTCTCTCTCTCTCTCTCTCTCCTCCCCCCCACCACCCCCTCCCTCTCTTTCTCTCTCTCTGTCTGGCTCTCTCGTTCTCTCTCTCTCCCGGTGTCCTGGCCGACAACCCCCCCCCCCCCCCTTCGCCCCCGGATAAAATTGGTTGTTCGTTCCATTGGCTGTTTGGCTGGAGGCCGCTGTGCGTGTAATATTGGCTGCCGCGTTGGGCCGCGAAACGCGCAGTCACTACGCTTCCCGTAAAATCCCGCCGTGCGCTTCGAGACTCCTCGACGACGCGATAAGGCGCGGAGCAGAGCACGAGGAGCACGGGCTCGGACGTGCAGCTTCCCTCGAATTGTATCCCTGCAGATCGACCGCGGGAAGTTTCGGCACGGACACACGTGTCCAACACGTGTTTGACATGTGCTGAGCATTTTAAAGCCTCACCCGCATCGCTTGTAGTGTTCTTAGGCGAAAATACCATCTGGAAACCTTCATTCCTTTCTCTCTCTCTCTCCCTCTCTCTGCCTCTCTCTGTCTCTCTCTCTCTCTCTCCCTCTCTCTGCCTCTCTCTGTCTGTCTCTCTCTCTCTCGCTGTCTGTCTCTCTCTCTCCCTCTCTCTGTTCTCTCTCTCTCTCTCTCTCTCCCTCTCTCTGTCTCTCTCTCTCTGTCTCTCTCTCTCTCTGTCTCTCTCCCTCTCCCTCTCCCTGCCTCCCTCTCTCCCTCTCGCCCTGTCTTACATTGAATTAATCCGTCACTCACAGCTCCATTAACCTCAGCTTAGCAGCTTTGCTCTTACGTTTCTTTCTGAAGTTACAACAATTGTTATTGTGTCGAGGAAGGAAGGAAGGAAGGAAGGAAGGGAGGGAGGGAGGAGGAAGGAGAGAGAGAAGGAGAGAGATGGAAAGGAGGGAGGGAGGAAGCTTGGGACAATCACCATCACAAATCAACCTCAAACCCTTGGTTCCAATATCCCCAACTCAAGGGGAGGGGGAGTGAGGGGTGGGGGTGAGGTGAGGGGAGGGGGGGTGGGCAGGTTAGTCCGAAGAGGACCAGGAAGGGGAAAGAGATCAGAGAGACGGGTGGTGGGGGGGGGGGGTGGGGGGAGAGAGGGGGAAAACGGAGAGGAGGAAGGAACGTTTTAGGGACCTGCATTTCAGAAAGAAAATAAAGCAGCTCATCCCAAAAAAAAACCAACACCCGCCCGTCGCTGCGGTCAGGAATGTAACCTAAAGACCGATGTTTTTGCAACTCTTTCCACATGTCTGAACAGCACAGAGAAAGTAAGCGATACTCCCCCTAGGACCTCAGCTCCCCACATTGATGCCTGTGCTCAAATGTAAGTACTGAGCCACGCAGGAAATTAGTCAGGTTCTGCTCAACCCAATCCTCGACTCAACCCAACGCCTTAGCTCGAACTGACTGTGTGAACCGTCGGAGGAGACTAAACCGAGCTGCCGCTCTCTCTCTCTCTCTCTCTCTCTCCCCCACTCAGACTACAATAATAATAATTAGGTGAGCAGGACAGGTGTCCTGGCCTCCAGCCGCCAGCCCCACCCACCCCAAGTAAAATGGGTCGCCCGCTCCACGGGCCGTTTGCATGACATCGGGACTCGCACAAGTGGTATTTTATGTGGGTTACACACACAAACCGATACACCGCACTGGTTGGTGACACGAAGGCAGTGTTTCTGTTCTGTTCCGTGTTTAACCCATGTATACAGAAACAGCAACAACAACTCGGATTTATATAGCGCCCTTCACGCCGGACGGCGTCTCAGAGCGCTTTGAAAACAGTTAAAGCAAGCCGTAGACCATTCTTTGCTCATGTGCTGCACCAGACCCTACTGTGCGCACTCGCTCGCTCGCTCGCTCGCCTGGCAAGCCAGAGGACCCGGGGTCTATTTCTGAGCAGAACAGGGCGAAACCTTAGGCGAGTTTCCTTACTGCCCCCCCCCTCCGCACACACGCACACACACACACGCACACACACACACGCACGCACGCACACACACGCTTCTGTTTATCAGCAGTAAGTAGGAACCCGGTTGTTAGTTGATTGGTGGATCACTTTCCAGGGGTAATAATCCTTCTCCCTCCCCAAAATATAGTCGCTCAATCCACGGCTGTTTGTGGGGACGTCGCTGGGCACAATTGGCTGCCGTGTTGCGCCCACAAAATACAAAGATCAATACTTTCGGACCTGCGGAAAGGGTGGAACAAGAGGACACGGGTCCAGAGCTGCAGCGTCAGGGCAGGCACCAGGAAGTCTTCCTTTACCCAGAGTGGAAGCAACCAGTGGGACAGGGGTTACCAGGAAGGAGGGTCGGGGAGGGGAGGGTTTGAGGCCAGGACACTGCGAGCTGTTTAATAATCAGCTCGATGCTGTGATGGGTGGGTGGGGGGGGGGAAGGGGAGACTGTCGGGGGGGGGGGGAAGGGGGAGACTGTCGGGGGGGGGAAGGGGAGACTGTCGGGTGGAGGGACTGTGGGGGGGGAAGGGGGAGACTGTCAGGGGGCTGTTGTGGAGGTGCCTCTCCAGCCCAGCGCTGGTTACGTTGTCAGGAGACTCTGAGACCTCAAACCTGAGCTCCCCATCTCTGCCTCGTTAAGGCGGACGTTAAAGATACTTTTGGGTGGGGGGGGAAGAGATGGGAGCTTCTCTCACTCTTTCTTTCCCTTCCTCCCTCCCTCCCTCCCCCTCCCTCCCTCCTCCCTCCCTCCCTCTCCCCCCCTCTCTCCCCCCTCCCTCCTTCCCTCCCTCCTCTCTCCCCCCTCCCTCCTCCTCCCTCTCTCCCCCCTCCCTCCCTCCCTCCCTCTCTCCCCTCCCTCCCCTCCCTCCTCCCCCCCTCTCCTCCCCCCTCTCTCCCCTCCCTCCCTCCCTCCCTCTCTCCCCCCTCCCTCCCTCCCTCCCTCCCCCCCTCCCTCCCTCTCCCTCCCTCCCTCTCTCACTTCCGGGGTGACATTTGTTGACATTTCGCTGATATTGTGATACTGAACATTTCATTTCACGTTTGATGTTTGTGTTTTTTTTCTCTCCTCTTTCTCTCTTCTTTTTGTCCCCCCCCCCCCCTCTCGTTCCTCGCCAATTTTGCTGTGGGTGGAGACTCTTAACGTCCCAGTTGGTTGGCTTTCTGGTAGGAAATGGAATACCATAGTTTCAGCAGAAGATGAATGAAACCTCAGCCTCGGGGTCGGGCAGACTAAACACTGGGGAGTCCCCGTAGCTCAGTGGTTAGAGCGCTCGCCTCACAAGCAAGCGAGAGGACCTGGGTTCCATTCCCGGGCAGGTCAGGGTCGAAAACTTAGACAAGTTTCCTTACTCCACTCACACGCACACACACGGAAGTAGGAACCCGGTTGTGAGTCAATTGGCGGATCGCTTTCCGGGGGGATTAATCCCTTCCCAAAAGTAAAATAATTTGGTCTCTCAATCCACCACTGTTTGTGGGACGCTGCCGTGCCCAATCGGCTGCCGCGTTTCACCCACAAAATATACAGTCAATTCACTTTAATAATAATAATAATAATAATCCTTGCATTTGATACAGTGCCTTATCATGTTGTTGAGACGCCTCCAAATGCTTTACAGATGTGAAGCGCTTTGAGGACGTCTCGACGACAGGATAAGACGCTGTATCAAATGCAAGGATTATTATTATTAGATTATTCATCTCTAAAACTCTGCTGTCCCGAAGTCAACCCCTCATCCTCCCTTGGTGGAAGGAAGTGCTTGAGAAACAACGACAGAGGAAAGGGTGTGAGAGAGAGAAAGGGGTGGGGGTAAGAGAGGGAGGCGAGGGGGCGATAAAAATAGAATTAAAAGTGGGCGAGAAGGACAGAGGGAAGGAGGAAGTGGGAGGGGGGAAACAGAAACCTTTGAAACCCTTTTCCAATTTCCTGCCATTGAAAGTCGCTCAAGTCAAACTCTTGATTTAACTCATCGCATGCTGCATGGTGTAGATGGATTTCATTTGGGTTTCCGGTGAGTATGTGTGTTGTGTGTGTGTTGCGTGAGTGTGTGTGTGTCTCACACTGTGCCAACCCATTGCTGGCTGACCAGCAGTGGGTCGTTGTGGGGGGTGGGTGGAGTGGGGTGGGGTGGGTGGTGGGGGGGGGGGGGGTTTGGGAAAGTTTCATTCTTGACGTGTGTTCTTCTAACTCCAATTTGCTCTTTGAAAGGATGGGTCCAACTCAGGTCAATACCCCCACCGACTGGACCCCTATTCCCCCCCCCCTCCCCCATCCCCCCCCATTGTAGAAGACTTCCTGTTTAACCCATCGCCGAGGCTCCCCACTTTGTGGCTGGTGATGCTAATGAACCAACAGCAACATCACGTTACATTGACACAGCGCCTGCCTCTCACGTCGGGACAGTCAGGGATTTGGACCTGAGCTGGGGGTTGGGATCAAGAGGGGTGGAGGGCGGGGAGGGGATGACTAGGAGGGTGACCAAAGGCGCGGTTGAAGAGGAGAGTCTTGGAGGCAAGGGAGGGGCTGAGGCGAGGGAACTGTGGGATAGAGTTCCAGAAGTGGGTGGGGACAGAGAGGCTGAAGGCCCGGCCGCTGATGGTGGAGGGGGCAGGGCGGGGCGGGGGGACGCGAAGCGAGGCAAAAATTGGGCTGGCGCATTCACCCACAAAACACGGGGTCACTTCACTCCGCCGCGAGGTGAGGTCATCGTAACATTAATGCATCATAACAGTAATTGTAAATAATTGGAACGAGCTGCTGAGGCGCTGTCTCACTGGTGAGGATTATTATTATTAATATTAATGTCCTGCATTGCACCTTGAAGCAGACGGAAGGATTGGAGTTAGGATCATCGATTCGCATTGAGGGGTTGGACGAGCAGAAGGTCGCATTGATAGCTGAGGACTCCTCCTCCCCTCCCGCCCCCCCCCCCCCCACTCCGCAACCCCCCTCTCCCATCGCAATCCCACAATCCTCACCGCCCCTTCCCCACGGAGAGTTTCTATTGCTCCTGTTGAGTGTGGGGGTGTAGATGACTTCCTGTTAACCTTTAACCCATCCCCCACGATCCTCTGCCTCAGAACCTCTTGACACTGAATTGAGGAACCGGGAACCGTGACTGTGTGAGCCCCAGTGGGAGGGGGGAGGGGGGGGGTGCTGAGGCGCGGAGTGGGGTAAAGAGGGCTTGAGGAAGTAACAGCCTTGAAGAGGTGGGGGCGAGAGGTTAGAGGAGGACTCAATGTGATGGACATGGGGATGGCGTGGGGGTGGGGGCTGTATTGGGGGCGGGCGGGGGAATGAAAGGACATCCTGCCGAGGGTTGGGTATTGACCAATAGCCCATTCTCCTGTTTGATACGAAACAAGTCACTTTTCAGCGTAGTAACCCTGGCCTCCGCTTTGCCAATTGGATCTAGGTCTCCTGGGAGGGAGATGGGTCGGAGTTGGGGGGTGGGTGAGGTGGGGGTTGGGGTGGGGGGAGGAGGGAATGTTCCGTGTGACCCTGATTGAGGGGGGCTCTGTAACCGTGGGACACAGAGAGAAGATAAGGACTGGGATGGGGATTTGGGATGGGAGGGGGAGGGGGAGTATAAACACCAGCACGGACCAGAGGGATCGAGTGACCTGTTTCCATGCTGTGGAAATCTTTGTAGCTACTTCCGTGTGGAATCTTCAGGCTCAGCTTAACCAGGAGACCTCTCTTTCTCTTTCTCTCTCTCTCTCTCTCTCCTCTTCCTCTTCCTCCTTCCCCTCTCTCCAGGAAAGAGCAACAGCGGAACCAGAAGCACGGGAAGACCGTGTGGGAGCAGAGGATGAACGAGATGCGGAAGCAGAACCTGATCACCAGCCGGGAGGTGCTGTACAATGAACTGGACCCCGACGAGCGTTGGAAGATGACCTACTCCATGAACCTCCGCAAGGACATGAAGACCCACCTGGACCGTCCGCTGGTGGTCAACCCTCAGGAAAACCGCAACAACAACACCAACAAGACCCGCCCGGCAGAACCCTCCGGGGTCGACCAGCGAAGCAGCCAACACAAGGCCGAGGACTTCCTCAGGAAGCAGAGCCGCTACCACGAACACCCGGGAGACCCCGGAAAAGGACCGCACCCTGGACCGGGAGTCGGGGGAACAGGGGGATCGGCCCCGGAGATACAGGAGCAACAGCAAGGAGGGGGAGGGGGATTATCGGGCCAGGGAGGCGGACGGACCCCACGAGAGGCCAGGGAGGGAAGGGGAGGGGGAGAGGAACCGGCCCAACGACTCTCACCGCCGGCACCAACACCAGCACCGGCCGAGCGGGGGCAAGGAGGGCCGGAGCTCCTCCCCCCGGCCCGAGGGGGAGCGGGAGCGCAGGCACAGGCCTCACCGCAGGGTGGCCGAGGGGCACGAGGGGAGCGGGCTGGAGGAGGGCGGGGGCAAGGGGGAGAAGAGGGCCAAGCACCGGGACGGTGGGGGCCGCGGGGGGAAGGATGGGGAGAACCAGGACGGGGCGGACAAGAGGCGGCGAGGGAGACACGCGCAGTCCACGTACGAGAACGACGGCAAGAAGGAGCGCGAGGAACGGGATCCGGCCTCGAAGGAGCGGAGGCACAAGCGGAAGAAGTAAGTGAACAAAACTCCCGCCCCCCCCTCCTTCCCACCCTCCCACCATCGCCCCCTCCCTCCCTCCCTCGTTGCCTCCTTCCACGAACCATCTCAAGACCCTCCTCTCCAGCCACCCTCCTCGGGTCCAAACCCCTGACTGTCTGTCTGGGCCGTCCTCCTGACGTGAGAGGCGCTGAGTTGTTGCTGTGTCAAATACCAGGGTTTTTGTTCCTCTTTTCAAGGGAGGGGCAGGGAGGTGGGGGCCCCACGTCGGGGCCCATCTTGTCCACTACGCGACCTGTGCAACAGGACGTGAGCAGACAGAACGGACAACACACCGAGGACATCGACAACCTGCGGAACAGCAAACTGGCCACCCACACCCAGCCGGCCAACCCCAGGAGCCCCAACCCTAACCCCACCATCCCCCCCCACCCCTCCAACCCCCACCCCAACCCCGGCAAAACCGGCAATCACGTCAACCCCAACCCCGGGAACCCGCACAACACGGCCAATCGCAAGGCCCCCGTCAGTGCCCCCGCCAACCCGCCCAACCCCAGCCACAGCACCAAGAACCCGGAGGAGAACCTCATCCACACCAACCCCTCAAACCCCAATAACCCGGGCAAACCGGCCAAGAAGCCCGAGCACACCGTGGTTGATGTGCCGTTCGCCGATCCCACCCTCCAAGGTGAGAGCGCCGGGGGGGAGAGAGCCAGGGGGAGAGGGGCAGAGCACTGGGGGGAGGGGATGTGGTCACTTAATCCACGGCTGTTTGTGGGGACGTCGCTGGGCGCAATCGGCCGCCGCGTTTCGGCCACAGAACACACAGTCACTGCACTTTACAGTGTGTCCTGTGAAGCGCTTTGGGTCCAATGCAATTTCTAAAAAGTTTTATATCAAGTTTTTAAACGAAAAAAATCTTAACAAAATGTTTTTTTTAATTTTCTTTGCGGGCACCACGTGCGCGTTTCGCTCCCACTCCCCCACCCCTCCCTCCCCTGTTCTCCCCCACCCCGCCCCCTCACACCCCACCCCTGTCTCTCCCCCACCCCCACCTCTCCCCCTCACACCCCACCCCTGGCTCTCCCCACCCCCACCCCTGACCCTCACACCGCACCACTGTCTCTCCCGTCCCCCTCACACCCCACCCCTGCCTTCCCCTCCCCCTCACACCCCACCCCCGTCTCTCCCCTCCCCCTCACACCCCACCCCCGTCTCTCCCCTCCCCCTCACACCCCACCCCCGTCTCTCCCCTCCCCCTCACACCCCACACCTGTCTCTCCGCAGTAAATAAAAACGCAAACACGGACACTTTGCCAAAGAAGCAAGAGGAGAAGAAGGAACCGGAAGAAGACGAGGAGGAGGAGGAGGGAGATGGTCCCAAACCCATGCCCCCCTACAGCTCCATGTTCATTCTGAGCACCACAAACCCGTGAGTCTCTCTCTCACTCTCACTCACTCTCTCTCTCACTCACTCTCACTCACTCTCACTCTCTGGGACCTCGCTGTGAACTCCAGCGCTCGCCTCCAACTTTTTCTTTGGGTGTGGGGGGCGCTGGTCAGATGGGTGTCTGACACACGGGTAAACCCATCACCGCCCGGCGATGTCCCCCCAAACTGCATCCCATCTACACAAGGAAATCCCAGAGATGGTTGGAATGGAATCCCCTCCCTCTCCCTCTCCCTCTCCATCTCTCTCTCCCTCTCCCTCTCTCTCTCTCCCTGGAGGGACACATTCCTGCTTACCTAATTCTGGAGAATATTAGGCGCAGACTGGCGAGAGCCAAGGCCGGGGGGTGTTGGTGGGGTGGGGGGTGCTTCACCTACAAAAACACACAAGAGATGGTTTTATTGAGAGCCCTCTCCCTGGTCCTGAAAAGGACTTTGTGTCTGTGTTTGTGTGTGTGTGTTTGTCTGTGTGTGTGTGTGTGTGTGTGTGTGGGTGTGTGTGTGGGTGGGTGTGTTTGTTTGTGTGTGTGTTTGTGTGGGTGTGTGTATGTATGTGTGTTTGTCTGTGTGTGTGGGTGTGTGTTTGTCTGTGTGTGTTTGTGTGTGTTTGTGTGTGTGTGGGTGTGTGTGTGCGTGTGCATGTGTGTTTCTGTGTGTGTGCGTGTGTGTTTGTGTGTGGGTGTGTGTGTTTGTGTGTGTGTGGGTGTGTGTTTCTGTGTGTGTGTGTGTGCGTGTGTGTGTGTGCGTGTGTGTGTGTGTGTGTGTGTCTGTGTGTGTGTGTGTGTGTGTGTGTGCACAGAGCTGTCCACAGTGCTGAAATCTCGGTGTGCGGTGGTTGGCATTTGGGTGGTACAGGACTCGACGGTAATTTGCGGAGTCAGTGGCTCTGTGGTTAGAGCACTCGGATTCCGTTCCTGGACGGACCAAAACCAGAGGCAACTTTCCTTAACTCGGTTTTGTTTCCTTTCATTGTGGCTCTCCCTCACTCCCTCCGCCTGCCCCCCCCCCCCCGCCCCCCCCCCCCCCCCCCCCCGCCGCCCCCCCCCCCGCCGGGATGCTGTGCTAACGATGGCTAACTCTCACCCACAGGCTGCGTCGTCTCTGTCACTACATCGTGAATCTCCGTTACTTCGAGATGTGCATCCTCATGGTGATAGCGATGAGCAGCATTGCCCTGGCTGCGGAGGACCCAGTGGAGCCCAACGCCATGCGCAACAACGTAAGACCCCCCCCCCCCACTCTCCCCCCTTTCCCCCCCAACTCCCCCCACTGATCGCTTCGACCCCCCCTACTCCTCCCCCCCAAAAAAAAAACAAGCTCCAATGGCTTTGACCCTCTGGCTCACGACGGGATCTGTTGTGTCTGCAGGTGCTCAGGTATTTTGACTACGTTTTCACGGGAGTTTTCACCTTCGAAATGGTGATTAAGGTAAGATTGTCACGGAAACATTTCCACCATCAGCCACCCCCCCCCCCCCCCGAAACCCCGCCTCCCCCTGCCTCCGACCCCCTCCGCCTCGCACCTACAGGCCCACCTCTTCGGCCGCACCTAGGGTCACCTCATTCTCCCCCCTCTGCCTCTCCCTCCGTCCCCCACCCCCCGCCCATCCCTCCCTCCCCCACCCCCCGTGCGCCGGTGAAGACCTCCGCGTTGAAATGTGAGACGCAGTTGTTGCTGTTGTGAAGAAGAAAATGAGTCCCATTTCCCTGGCCTCCCAGATGATTGACCTGGGCCTCATCCTGCACCAAGGAGCCTACTTCCGAGACCTGTGGAACATTCTAGATTTCATCGTGGTCAGCGGCGCTTTGGTGGCCTTCGCTTTCACGTAAGTGGTAACAGCGCCCGGCACCACAGCCCCCCCTCTCCCCCCACACCCCCCCCGTGCTTGCTTGTCGGGGTGGAGGGTGAAGGGGGAGATCCCAGGGGGTAACTGCCTGGGAGAAGGGGGGAGAGGGGGTGGGGGGAAGGGAATGATTTGTGTGGGGAGGGAAGGTGGTGGGAGGGGTGGGGGGGGGGGCTGTTGTTTGCCGTTTGCCTGGTTTGGGTTTGGCCGGAGAGATGTGTAACGACCTCCTGCTTGTGAGCAAAACCAAAAAGCTTGACAACGCATGATTCACACCACATGACTGCAATTTCTCAACTTTTTTACTGTTTTCATAAGTAGCAATGGCTTGGGGGTGGGGGGGGGGCGAGGAAAGAAATAAAGGGGGGCAAAAGGGGTTTAAACCCCCTCCTTTTCTGTGGTTGACAAATCCTGACATTGGAAATTCGGATATTGGTGACTTTTCAATTGGGGTTGGGGGAGGGGTTGGTTGGGTGGGGGTGTGTGTTGGGAGATTGGGGAGGGGGGGCAAAGCCAAGAGGCCTACTCATGTCTCACTCTGTCTGGGGCTAAACAAACACCCCCCCCTCCCTTCCTTCCTTCCCTCCCCCCTCCCCTCCCTCCCACCCCCCCCACCCCCCCCCATTCGATAATCATTCCTCCTCTCGAGAGGAACCCAATTTACAAGTTTGTGAGTGTCCGAGGTTTGTTCTTGTGCACCAGACTCCGCTCACGATCGGTCCCCACGACACACACAGGTCCCCGGCCCCGACCGACTGCTGGGTGACCTCGGGAGGTGTGGACATATCTGGGTGCCAAAGCCAACACAGACCCATGGCTGAGAAGGCTTGAGTAGGCCGTGTTATTTGTGTGTTATTTGTGGGTTTGGCGGATGGGGGGGGATGGTGGTGGTGGTGGTGGTGGTGGCTGGTGGTGGGGAGGGGGAGGGGATAACCATGACCTCATTGCACTTGTGAAAACTCGGAAAATTGTGAAAAAATCACGCAAGTCGCGGATAGAGATGTTTCCGGAAGCATCGTGACGGGCCGCGAGCCGAGCCCAGCCAACTGCATCTGTCTTACACGACCGACCGCCCGACCGACCGCCCGACCGCCCGACGGACCGACCAACCGACCGACAGACAGACAGACAAAAAAAAACCAAAAAGTATAAAATTGAAATTTCCGAATGCAAATTTCAGTTCATGTCATCTGTTAATTTCCCCCCCACCCCCACATTTTGATGGATTAATTTATCTTCCCTCCTCCTTTCTGGGTCCTTCTCTTCTAATTCCCCCTCCTCCCCCTTCCCCCTCTTTTCCCACCTATTCCCCGCCTCCCCTCTCCCCTCCCTAAACCCCAACAACAAATTGTTTGATCATCACCTGCTCTTAAACACAAGTTACGTTCAATCACTCACAGAGTCATGAGGTTTGTTCCCCACTCTTCCCCCCCACCTCCCCCCCCCCCCAATGTGTGGATCGAAACTCCGCTACAGAAAGCCATCAAATGACCCTCAAAGGCCTGGTTTCAGAGTGGGAGGGGCAGGGGTCTACTGACCAATGCCCACCCCCCTCCCTGGGAATTGTCAGACCCTCACTTTTGGAGTGGTGGGTGGGGGGGGGTGGGGGTCTGACGGGGTGGGGGAGTGGGGGCAAGAGCATAGATGTTGTATTCATTTCAGATGTTTCCCTGAGTCAGAAGGTTGTGGGTTCAAGCCCCCAAATCGGGGTCTTTTGAGCTCGCAATCTGTCTGGGCTGTCGTTCCAGTGCGGTGCTGAGGGGGCGAGTCGCATCGGAAAAAGAGGAGGGAGTTTCTCTGTCTCTCTCTCTCTCTCTCTCTCTCTCCTCTCTCTCTGCCCGACGGACAACCCCCCTCCCCTCCCACCATCTGCACCCCACCCCGGATAAAATTGGTTGCTCGCTTCAAATGGCTGTTTGTGGGACTTGAAATAAGATGAAAAATGGTATTTGATTGGTATTGGTGTTAATTGTCACATCCACTCTGGTAAGAACCCCCCTCCCCCCCCCCCCCACAACCCCACCCCCACTCCAACCCCCACCCCCACCCCCACTGGGATAATAGTGGCAAAACGGTTGACGTGACCAACGATGGGATCAAATTTCAAGCCGGAAATTCAAGATGGTGCACAATATTTGGAAAACTGGATTCGGAAACCAACCATTGTGTCCAAATCTGTATGTGGTGGTGGGGGTGGGGGTGGGGTTGGGGGGCGCGGGGGGTGGATGGGGTGGGGTTGGGGGGGCGGGGGGTGGGGAGGGCAGGGGGTGGGGGAGTGAGTTCAGACCTCAAACCAATCCCAAATTGCGCACCGAAATTCAGCCATTTCTTAACAGATTGCGTGTGATAATCAGCACATCAAGTTTATTCTTAACCGTTCCATTTTTGTCCCCCCCCCCCCACCCACCCTCTCTCCCACCCGCTCTGTCGCCATTGGAGAGTGGGGGGGGGGGGGGTGGGGAGGATGGTTCAATGTTTTTCTTTGTGAATTTGAAAGCTCTTTGTATTATTTTCTGTCAACTCTCACTGTCGTACCTGAGCTGAGGACTGACATTTGCGTTGTGTTTTTTTTATGGGTGGGGGGGTGGGGGGAGGGGGAAGGAGAGAGGGGGAAGAATGGGGCAGTGGGTGGTGGGGGGGGTTCAGAATGTGGCTCAATCGCTCACACTCTCACCTCTGGTTCAGAAGGTCGGGAGTCTGAGTCCCCTTTCTTTCACGCCCTCCCTTCTCTGCCCCCTTTCTCCCCACCCGCCACACCAGCACTGCTCCAGCACAGTGTTGATGTGGTGGGGCGGGGAGGGGGAGAGTGTGGGGTGGGGGGGGGGTGGGGGCGTGGGGCAGAAAAGTGCGGGTGGGGGCTATTGTATTGTCACTGAGCTCGGACACGAAGACTGTAACAAGCTTTAGCTCCGTTGGGGTTGGAAGCGGTTTGGACCTGGTGTGGTTTTCTGACGTGGTCGTTCGCATACACACGGTTGCTCACCATCACTCGTGCAAACCCCCCAACCCCCCCCACCTTCACATAACAGTGCACGGTCAATCAGCCCCCCCCACCCACCCCCCCCCCCCCCCCCACTCCTCCCTCCAACCCCCATCACCACCACCATCCTCTCATTCATCAAGTAACCTGCCTGGATTCCCTTCTCTCTCTCTCTCTCTCTCTCTCCACATCTGCCATTGGGGAGCAACGGAGAATCTGCCAGGTTCCGACTATTTGGGAATGATCTGGGAATGTGTCGGAGTCTCTTCCCGGAGAGAGGAATTTCCGGACAGGATGCGTCTCCGGGACAGAGCGATCCCGAGTGTTGAGTCCCCGTAGCTCAGGGGTTAGAGCGCTCGCCTCGCAAGCGAGTGGGAAGCCCCGGGTTCAACTCCCAGGGGGGTCAGGTCAGGGCGGAACCCGAGGCAGGTTTCCTTACACCACACAGACACACACACACACAGTCACACTCACACACACACAGACACACACAGTCACACACACACACAGTCACACTCACACACAGACACACACACCACACACACACACACACACAGTCACACACACACAGACACACACACACACACAGACACACACACACTCAGTCACACAGACACGCACACACACACACAGACACACACAGACACACACAGTCACACACAAACACACGCACACACGCACAGACACACACAGTCACACACACACACAGACACACACACAGTCACAGTCACACAGACACACACACACAGACACACACACACACACAGACAGACACACACACAGACGCACTCACACACACACACACACACTCACAGTCACACACACTCACAGTCACACTCACACGCGCCTCTGTTTACAGCAGGAAGTAGGAACCCGGTTGTTAGTCAATTGGTGGATCGCTTTCCGGGGGTAACAATCCCTTCTAAATAAATAAATAAATAAATAGATAAATAATAACAATAATAATTTGGTCAATCCGCGGCTGTTTGTGGGGACACTGCTGTGTGCAATTGGCTGCTGTATTTCGCCCACAAAATACACAGTCACTACACTTTACAGTGTATCCCGTGAAGCGCTTTGAGACGCCTCAAGCACATGATGAGGCGCCGGGTCAAATGTCAGGATTATTATTATTATTATTATCAACACTTGGCCTCACTCTCACCATAGGGGGGCACTACATGAAAAGCCCCCACCCCAACCCCCACCCCCACCACTACACTCATCCAAATGGGAATCCAAGATGGCAGCTCCCAAATTGTTTCGGCTGGATTTTGAGCGCTCACTCCTGTTATTCTGAATTTCCGGGGTTCGGGGTGGGGTGGGGGTGAGGGAAGTGGTGGAAGAGGAACATCTCTGTGCACAAATTTTGGGGTTTGCCAACAGAACGCACAGTCACTTCACTTTGCAATGCAAAAGCGCTTTGAGACATCCTGATGACGTGAGAGGGGAATTGAGTGGGTGGGACGTTTGTGTGTGGGGTGGGGGGAGGTGGGGGGGAGGTGGGGAGGAGGTGGGGGGGAGGTGGGGGGGAGGGGGTCAGAGCACTGTTGAAATCCAAGAACAAGTGCGAACGAGACGGCCAATGTTTTGACGTTCTCCCCTGGCTCTTCATCTCCAGCTCCTACCTTGACTTGTTGCTTGCGATGCCTGTGTGACCCCCTGGGAGGTGAGGGGGGAGGGTGGCGGCGGTGGGGGGGGGAAGGGGGCGAGGCGAGAAGTAGGGGGTCATTGCATGCCCAAGGCCCAAAGCCTCATGTCAATGACACGGTTTACTGCTGTGAGCTGACATCGACTTTTTTTCATTGATAGCAAATACCCCCCCACCCCCTCCCACTCCCCCCCTCCCCCCCCCCCCCCCATCACGACCTGCTATCAATTGGGTTCTTTATACTTTTGCTCAAAACTGGCACGTGTGTGTTTTGAGGGGCGCGGGGGGAGGGGGGCGAAGGGGGAAGAGGGGAAGAGAAAACGGACAACCCATTTACTCCGATTGTATCGT